CACTTGTCACGGTTTAGGGGTTTAGGGTTTAGGGGTTTAGGGGTTTAGGGCTTAGGGGTTTAGGGGTTTAGGGTTCAGGGTTTAGGGTTTAGGGTTAAGGGTTTAGGGGTTTAGGGTTTAGGGACCTTCCTACGTTTCACGACTGCGACTTGTCATGGATCGGGTTTCGGGTCGACCCGGGGGCTCCATTTAATGTAGGAGGTTTCCGAAAATAGGGGACTCAAGACCCTAAATAGTAGGATCCTTATTATAAGGACCCCAAATAAGGTACCCCTCAATTTCGAAAAGTCCTATACCACCACCCATGGAGCTACAGATTCGAAAAGACCATCCCTACTATGGTTTTAAATGGCCCAGTTCCATAAGGGTAGTATCGATTATATGGAGCCTCTTGGTGAGGCTCCACGGGGTTTGAATGATGGTCAGTAGGATCTCCTTCTAGTCTACCTGTAGCCCAGGGCAGCCCAAAGCCCTGTTCCAATCATTAAGGCCCTTATCTTGGGCTTTAGGGCCCATAAGGGGAATATCGTTTTAGGTTTTTATAGGGCTCAGGTAAACGTAACTGAGCTATAGCATATGTATGTGTGTGTATATATATAATTGTATATTCATGTATCTATTTATAGAGAGAGAGAGAGAGCGTTTTATGTTGCATTTAGTTATAACTTAGTAAAGCTTGTAGCATACTAAACCCTAAACCCTGAATCTTAGGTGGTGTGTCTTCGAGATGGCTGCTTTCCTGAATGCGCATGGCTCGGCGGCCGTGAAGGTGTGCCCTCCCTTGTTGGGCCTCTTGCCTGATTTGGCTTTACAGTTTAAACCCTAAACCCGAATAGGGTTTTCGGGCTTTAGGGTTTACGAGTTCAGTAGAGCGACCTTGATAAGCAAAATAGGATTTCGGGCAATGTTTACGGAATACCGCCCTCCTTCTTCAGCCGTGTTGCCTGCTCTTGTTTTGTGATACAATGCCCTCCTCTCTGACTGCGGCGTGCTGCCCGGTTAGAGGGTCCCCCAACACCCTAAAGGGCCGTCCTTTTCGGGCCTGTTGCCATCTCTTGCATTTGCGGTGTAATGCCAGGACGAAGTTCGACTGGTCTCACAGCTTATTATAAGGGTTCGCACGCCCTTATTCGGTCAGGGTTGTGGGGAAAGGTGAAATTTAGGCTCTTTGTGTTCTGTGAAGTAGACAGGAACCCTAAACCCTAAGCCCTAAACCCTAAACTGGGGAAAGGTGAAATTTAGGCTCTTTGTGTTCTGTGAAGTAGACGGGAACCCTAAACCCTAAACCCCAGACAGGAACTGTTCTGATGATCTGCCACTTTGTCTTGTGCGTCATTACCTTTATCAGCCACTGGCTGCTGCAGCAACTAGGTCTCCAAGTGGGCCCTTTTTCCTTTCTTTTTTTTGGTGGTCCCTACTGTTGATGATATAAATCCTGCATTACCTTAAGGACCCTACACTGTGGGAATTATGGTGTATTACTTATTATGTGCAATGCAGGATTTATATCATCAACCACCTAGCTCCTAAACCCTAAACCCCAAACCCAAATCCCTAAACCCTAAACACTAAAATCCTAGGCAAGACTCCTGGTCGTGGGCTTACCTGGCCACTTTGCCGGCGCTGTGGTTGCCAACCTTCACTTTCATGGCGTATGCGGTGCGATCCGAGGTTGAGTCTAGGGTTTTGGTGTTAGGGCTTGGGGTTTGGGGCTTTAGGGCTTAGGGTCTTAGGGGTTTAGGGGTTTAGGGTTTAGGGTTGGCTTAGGGTTTAGGGGTTTAGGGCTTAGGGTTTAGGGGTTTAGGGTTGAGGGACAGTCTTGCGCGAGTGCTGGTAATCTGCGTAAGAGTTCAGGGGGTGACACGCTGTGCCAGTCGCAGAGGCTCCATAGATGCTACCATTATGGGATTATATAGGTCCCAAAAGACCATCCCTATGGTTTTAAGGACCTAAACGCATAATGTTAGCATACATACATACATACATACATACATACATACATACATACATACATATATATACACACATATTTTTATTACTAATAATCATTATCATCACAATCATCATAATCATAATAATAATCATCATAATCATAATAATCGTACTAGCAATAGTAATAACAATAACAATAATAACAATAATAATAATGATAAAGAATAAGGAATATACCATAATTCGGGTCGTTAAGGTAATGCAGGATTTATATCATCAACAGATACTTCCCCAAACCATAATAGAATTTCGTAACGTAGAAACCCTACGTTCTACTATATGGGCACTGAGGACTTGGAATAGGGCCCTGTGCCAAACAGGAAATGAAGGACCAGAACATCTTAAGCCCTAATTTTACAGTTGGATGTCTCACTTACTCTACAGAAAGCCAAAAAGGGAGCCGAGAATCGTCTACCGAAGCCCGAGAGCAAGCGCCGAGGATCCTATTGCCGCAGCATTGACACCATGGACCGTCAGCTGAGGGACTTCTGCATCCAGCAGCTGGTGCTGGAGTGCTCTTATGATACCGTATCCCTCAGAGTATCCCTGATATCCCGGAGTAATATAGGGGCCTTAAGAATTACCTATACTTTTTTCTTTTGTTTTTTTTGGGGGGGTGTCCTTCTTATAATTATAGTACAATGTACCCCAAAAGCCTACTCTGATTAGTAAGGCCCCTATATTATCCCTTGCAAATCTTGAAGCAACCCTCAAAGGCAGCTTGGAGCACCAGACCTGTTCCCGAAAGGAGCCATACTCTATCACTTAAAGGAACATAAAGGAGCCATAATGGAGCATACTTGATTGCTTTTGTTGGACTTGTTCCTTAACGGAACATAAAGGAACTGTAATGAACTATGTCGTATTGCTGTTTTGGGACCGGTTCCTTAAACGAACCCTGATGAAATATAAACCCTAAACCCTAAACTCTAAACCCTAAACCCTATAAATTTATGTTTTCTCCGCGGTTGCTTCAAAAGCCCAGGCAGACGACAAGCTCCTGCTGCGAAGGTGGCCACAAAGACGACGACTTCTGCGACCTGGGCGCGCGTACGGTTTAGGGTTTGTGGTCTAGGGTTTAGGGTTTAGGGGGTTAGAGTTTAGGGGTTTAGGGGTTTAGGGTTTAGGGCTTCAAGTTATCGCTTAGAGTTCAGGCTACAGGGTTTAGGGCTTAGGGATCTGATGGTGAGAAAGATCCCGACAGAACCAGTGTGAATCATCGCCGATCATGGCGCAAGTTGTTGAGCAACTCGTTCTGCCCAGTTAGGGTTTAGGGTTTAGGGTTCAGTGGACAGAGCTTGAAGTAGGGGCTCGTTCAAAGGTACACCTAGGACCTAGTCACACACAGGGATACTGAAACGAAGAGTTTAGATCCAGACGAAAATTCTGGAATCAGATCAGATTGTGTAGGACCCTCAACCCTAAACCCCCTAAACTCTGAAGACAAGTAACCTCAATCCTAAAGTTGGATCCCCTGAATCTGTTCGCGGCCATGCTCAAATCCTGCAAAAAGCAACCCAATCATAGCCTGAAGCCTCAAAATCCCAACAACCCACCCTAAGTTCTGATGCACCTATGTCGTTGTAGATTTCCGGCAACTTCAGCTGCCAGCTGCTACAGTACCCTCTCGACGCCCTTCCTACAGAGTAAGGGGGTCAGAGCACTTTGTGGGCTTTGTGATTATACGATCATCTTCCCCAAATCCGGACATACCTATTCAGGCCTGAATAATGCCAGGTCCAGAAACACCCCAAGCCGGTTCAGGTGCTTGCAGGAACTTCGTCTCCAGAAAAGCAGGCTTGTTAAGTTTCCAACATCCAAGCTAAAGCCCGCCTTTAGAATAAATGTGTTCTTACCTAGGTTCAATAGTGCTACCCTGTTGCCCTTTGTATTCGAGGGTTCTCCTATCAAAGCTGAATAGCAGGAAACAGGGGTAGCCTAATTCTTAGGGGGACCCTAGGGAACCTAGTTAATTACACTTTGGCAGACCAAGCCGAAAGCTCAAAGTTGTGTGCTTTTTGTCTTCTTAAGGAAGCTGAACCCCAAACCCAAAATCCTTAGGCGATCGACGCATCATTCTGCGATGTATCTCCACATGGTTTGGGTCTATCGAGAACTTTGAGCTCCGGGTGCAGACTGAGGTGAGGGTGGAGGGTTTGGGGTTTGGGTTAAGGGCCCGGAACTGACTGAGGTGAGGGTGGAGGGCTTGTTGGTGGGCTAGTAGAATTAGAAGGATCTATGAGGATCTATGAGGGTGTAGTACGGTGACCTTACTAATTACATAATTATGAGTTCGGGGCATTCTTATGTAAAGATAGAAATAGATGTGACACACTTCTTGAAGGGGGGGGGGGAGGGGGGGGGGGGGTGGCTTTGTGGTCTGGGGATCTCGGGTATAGGGCGTCAGCTCGTTTGGAGGATGTTTCTGGGTCCTTGTTGGCTACAATTTTACATTTTTGATATAGCAAAGCGCAATAAGGCTTAGAAAATTATCATTTCTAGCATAGCCCCAACAGGGAACCAGTTTAGGTTGAGGCCTTTTCGGGCTTTGTGGATATGGGTAGTTCTCTAAATTAGGGTCCCTTTCAGGATCCTTGTTCTAAGGGTGCCGTGCTATTTGGGGTGCCTAAAACAAGGGGAGCTTAGTTTAGAGAACCACCCATATGCGCCCGAGGGCCTTGGTAAGGTGTCTTTGGATTTAGGATCAGGACGGAGAGTCTCGTAAGTCCCGACTTCAAGTCGAAAGTGACGGGTTTAGGGCCTTTAGGGCCTTTAGGGTTTGGGGTTTAGGGTTTAGGGTTTGGGGTTTAGGGTTTAGGGCTTAGGGTTCAGGGTTTTGGGAGCACTCTTCGGCCGCGCCCTTGATCCTTCGATAGTTGGCGTCAGCATCTTGCTGAATCACACGCCCCAAAGCTCTGAAAACGAAGAGCCCTGAATCCCGAAATCCATTGAATCCTAAATCCCTACACCTTGATATGCTAGGAATCTCAAAGCCCCAACACTAGCACTGCTCCATCCCGGAAATTCCCAGAGATTCCTATCTCTGAAGTGAGACTGGAGAGTTTAGGGTGTTGGGATCCGTTTCTGTTGTTCACGCCTTGCAGAGCCTTCGTGGCGAGGTGCGGAAGGCTCTGGCGAATCAGCTCGTAGACGGAGGCTTCACCTACCGCCGCATGGTCCTTGCCACGGTTCCCCTTCTCTGGTCTCTGCTGCCAGGCGAAGCAAAGCAACCGCAAGCTCTCAACCCCCCTAAACCCCTAAGCGCTATACCCTACAACCTCAAAGCCTTAAACCCCACCTAAGCCACCAAAAGTAGGTAAGAGATAATGGCCCAAGACCCAGAAAAAAGGCTATTCTTTTACATATACGTTTGGGGTCCAGGGGGGGCTGAAGATGACTCTGAAGCCTTAGCCCTCAACCCTTCACCCCCTTCCACTCCTAAACTCCTGAACCCTCAGCCTCTAGATCCCTCTAGGGAACCCTAAAGAGGAACCCTAAACCCCTTTAAAGGAACCCATGAAACTCTAAACTCTCCACCCGAAGCCAGCATAGAAGGTAAGACCTTCAACCCTACATCTGAGACCCTCAATGCTGAACCCAGGACCCCTTATGCCTCAACCCGAATACCCCAAGAAAGGCCTGAGCCCTGAGCGCTTGAGTCCGACCTTAGAAGCTTGAGCCCTGATATGGCGGCCTCAGTATTTTAGAGTAGGCTTTGGATCTGGGGCCCGAGCAAGTTGAGCAGGGTCGGGGGGAGTATAGTATAGTATAGCATAGCATAGCATAGCATAGCATAGCATAGCATAGCATAGTATAGTATAGTATAGCAGAGCATAGTATAGTATAGTATAGTATAGTATAGTATAGTGTACTATGCTATATACTATACTATAACCTACTAGAGTATGTTATTGATATAGTGAGTAACCTCAGGCACTACTGCAGCTAAAGTAAGGCATCTCAACGAAGAATAGTATTCCTAAATCCTGCATCTACACTAAACCGAAACGGCGGTCCTGGCCACAACCAGGCAGAAGGAAAACACTTACGCTCATACAGCCAGACATACATCTCAAATCACACCTGTAGCTCTTGTATAACATGCGAGACCCTAAACCCTAAACCCTAAACCCCTAAACCCTAAACCCCTAAACCCCTAAAGCCCTAAAACCCGAAACCCGAAGCAGCTAGCACCCGTTGCACCGAGCCAAGGTTGGATCGTATGGCATCCGACGTCCGGGATCCCCTCTGGGCGGCGGGGCAGATGGCCCGTCTCTTTGCCTATTGGTTGACCACTGCTCCTGGGATTGCGACCATTTCATAGTAAAGAGGGCGCACATGCTTCACTTTATGTCTCATTTTTTTGTGGCAACTTGATGTAGGTTCCTGCGGCTGCTTTCGTGTTTCTCTGAGTTGTAAGATCATGTCTTTCGGGGGGGTGCGTATCAAAAGTCCGTCTTGGGCTGTCATATCCCGATCTGAACTGGAAGCCAAATCTTCTGCCTTTAAAAGGATAGAACCTTGATTCCCAAACCGTGTTGTTGGGGGTTTAGGGTTTAGGCCTAAGGCTCTAAGGCTTAGCACTCGCATGTAAAGTCCAAAGATCATATTCTGTAACGATTTTTTGGGCTATTTGAGACATAGGGCCATAGGGTGAAGGGGAACTGGACGACCAAGGTTCCTTCCATCTTGATCCTCCTGTTGCTCGACTGGCTCTCGAGATGTAATCTAAACTGTGGGTAACCCAGTAAGGTTGAGGGTCTGCTTAAAGGATCATGGGACTGGCAGTTTGTTATAAGCCCAATTAGGCTACTTATCGTCCTCCAAATAGGGGCCGTAGGGGCTTTAAACCCCAAAGTCTAAACCCTACACCCCAAAACCCTAAACCCATGTGTAGAGACTGGGGACCGCTGTCCTGTCCAACGGGCTCGCTTTTTCCTGCTAGACCTGGGCAGCGGTTTGGGTCCGAGGTTTTGGGTTTAGGGGTTTAGGCTTCAGGGTACACCCTAAACCCTAAACCCAATATAGAGGGCCGGCTTGAAGAAACTGGTTCAGGGGTTCGGGTTGGGGAGTGTACTTCCCGGAAGCCCTAATCCCCGATGTTTCCTTCGAAGGTTCCGTCTTTGCTACAAGTTCCGCGCTTCTTGTGGGAGGACATCCCTCGAGATCCTCCTCTCGCTCGGGCTTGTGATGATCGGAGCTGTCACTCGCTCTAGGGGTTGGGGGGCTTCAGGGTTTTAGGGTTTAGGGTCTCGGCGCGGGCTGCGAGGGTTTTGCCACGGGTTTCAGGGTTTCGGTGTTGCAGGTTTGGTCGACCAGAGGGGTTCTTGGTCTGATCTTGTTCTTTGATACTGTTGATGATATAAATCCTGCATTACCCTAAGGATCCTAAACTATGGGAATCATGGTATGTTCCCTATTAAATGGGTAATGCAGGATGTATATCATCAACCTGTAGTTTGCAAGGTATGTCCTACCAGGGCTAGAATGTGGCGACGTTCTACTCATGCACTCTGTTTTCGAATCCTAAAACCCCAAACCCTAAAGACCCTAAACCCCTAACCCCTAAACCCTAACCCTAAACCCCTGAACCCCTAAACCCGAAAGCCTAATAGCGTGGGTCGGGCCTCGGGTTTCGTAGCCGGATATTGCATGCATGACGAGCGCCTTTAGCTTCAATGTATCGGGCACTGTTCGACCCTAGCTCCCCACCCTCAAGGTTTAGGGTTTCGGGTTTAGGGGGCTTTTAGGGTTTAGGGCTTAGGAGGCTTTTAGGGTTTATGGGCCTTTAGGGTTTAGGGTTTTAGGGGGTTTAGGGTTTAGGCTTCAGGGTTTAGACGCTAGCCCCTGAATCAAGCCCTTACGCCCCCTTTAGGCATCAAGTCCTCAAACCTGCAAAAGCCAGGGCTTAACATGTATTTTCAGAGTTTAAAAACAGCTCGTTGGTCCTGGCAGAATAGAGGCCATGTATTGTGCCACAGCAGCGATTGACATCCTCTTCCAGGCCGTCTTTCCAAGCATTCCGCTGGCGAACTTTGCTCTCTGTGGCCTCTGTGGCATTGTCACTGTTGCCGTGCTGCGATATCTTTGACACCTTTGACTCCAAAGAAAAGGGTGCCTGAGTCAGTCATGGCAAGTTCCTTTAAGAAGGGACCTTTCAAAATTGCGGACTATTGGAGTCTGTGGGAAAGCGTTCCTGATCCCTTATGACTCGTAACACCGCTTGGTCTCGGGCGTGCGTTCTGAGCCACAAGGGCAAAACTAGTGGCGAATCATCAGGGTGGGGTGGGTGCCGACCTGGAAAGTTTCCCAAAATAGGGGACCCTAATATAGTACCCTAAAATAGTAGAATCCTTATTACAAAGGACCCCCAAAAGAAGGTACCCCCGAATTTTCGGAAACTCCCACATATCTGCTGTCGTCTTCTCCGAAGCTCCTCATAGCTCTCAGGTATCTGTCGAAGTCTTCTCGTCGGGTTTGGAGATAGAGTTCGAGAAAAAATCCGTCCTAGGGTTCTCTTAGAGTCTACCCATAGGCCCCTAAGTAGTTCCGTTTTGTGGTTTATGATATTTAGAACCCTATAAGGCAATCCCCAAAAAGGAACTACCCAGGGGCCTATGGGTAGTATGTAGATGCTGCGGCGCGATTCCTCCCTGCTGGATTTATTGAGGATAAGGCCAAAACAGGCCTTGCTTTTAACTCTGCTTGGAGGATCAGGAGACTGACAAGAGGTTACTATGTATGTGAGTTCGTTGAAGTGACAGTGATAGCGACTCCGAAGTTACCCGGTTTGCCGCCCTTGTCCCCTAAACCCTAAACCCTAAAGTCCTTCAAGTCCGATTTTCCGTGCATTCTGAACCCTTGTTTGCCGAAGGCACAAGGCTTCCTGGCTCTTACCCGAAATGGGGTTCCCATAATAAGAGGTACCTTATTCTGGGGGTCCTTCTAATAAGGATCCTACTACTTTGGGGTACTATATTAGGGTCCCCCTATTTTCAGAAACCCCCAAATAGGGTTTAGGATTTTAGGGTTTAGGGTTAAACCCTAGGCCCTGAACTGTGGCTCTTAGCAGGGAAGGGCGGAGTGGATCGCTGTGATCGTCCCTTGAGGTCCCTTTTATAAGTGCCTACACCCCGGCCCTAAGCCCCTAAACACCTAAACCCTAAACGCCTAAAGCCTAAACCACTAAATCCGGAACCTCTATCCACTGAACCCTAAACCCCTAAATCCTAAATCTCGAAAAAATAACCCCTACCCATAGGCCCCTAAGTAGTTTTGGGATTACCTTATAGGATTCTAAACACAAACCATGACAAGCAACTGCTTAGGGGCCTATGGGTAACCCCTAAAGCCCAAACCCCAAGGTTCGGACCAAGGCGCGGTTTGAAGCCAGGTCTCTTTGCAATGGGCATCGTGTTTTGAAGACCCATACGGTCGGTGATATAAATCCTGCATTGCACATAATAAAATAATCATATAATAATAATAGTAAAAACAATAAAATAAAAATAAGAAGAATAGTAATAAGAAGAAAAGGAATATACCATAATTTCCAGAGTTTAGGGTCCTCAAGGCTAATACAGGATTTGTATCATCAACCAGAAAGAATGGTTTTCAGTCCGAGGTCCATCTGCTTGATCACGGTCCTGGTTCCCACTGGCAGTTTAGTTTAGGGTTTACGGGGCTTAGGGTTTAGGGTTTGGGGCTTAGGGTTTAGGGTTCAGGGCTTAGGGTTTAGGGACTACGGTAATAGCTTTGGCAAAGTGTGTGTAGGGCGCCTAAGACAAGGACCACCCACAGCAGAGGGCGGACGGGCTAAACACTATTCCAAAACATGTACAAAACTCGGCAGAGCTTCTGATGGACTTCCGAGTAGATTCTGCAGGCGCCGCTTCAGATATCGAAAAGTGCAAGCGCCTGACGGCGTTGGCTGAAAGTGACACTGTAAGATTATAGACAAAACCATGCATTTCGATGGTGCTTGTAATCGGCTCCTAGCGTTGTAGAAACCGTCATGATCCCCTAAGGCCCCACAAAGCCGTGTTGAACCCACCTGCCTCCCTTGAAGCGAGTCCTTACATCTTTCTTCACTGCAGCTTCCCCGAAAACCCAATACCCCTTAATTAAGGAATATGCCTTAAATTATAGGGGCCTTAGTATTCTGATTTAAGGTATATTCCTTAATCAAGAGGTATTGGGTTCTCTAGGTTCTCGCAGGTGAGTGGAAACGGTTGCCGAGGAGTCCCTGCGACCAGCGACGGTCCTGGCCACCATCGGCCTTTTTTGCGTGTGCAAAAGACAAGAAGATGACTAAACCCTAAACCCTAAACCCGAAAAGATGCATGGACTAGGGCCTAGGGTTTGGGGAGGGACCGGACAGGCCGTTGTGTCAGTGTCTTTTGCTGCTGCGTCTCTCACATGCAGGTAGTTTTCTGGCGACCAAAGGTATTAAAAATTGACGACCGCAGCAATCGAAATGAACTGAACAACCCACGTGTGCTTCGATAGTTCCCTTGATGCAGTGCCTAAACCATAAACCCTATTCACGAGTGAGGATCGAGCATGCGGCATTCAGGAATCCGGATAGGCAGAACCTCCAGAGACAGCCTTCAAACCCAAGGTAGTGCTCCCCAACGCACGCGTCAAAGTCGCCCCCGTTTTGCTGTCGGTCCGAGAACTTCTTGAATCCGTCCTTAACTACTGTTGATGGTAGAAATCCTGCATTACCTTAAGGACCCTAAACCATGGAGATTATGGTATATTCCTTATTCTGGCTAATGCAGGGTTTATATCATCAACCATATGTAGGGTGTCATATCCCTTCCGAGTTATTTCCCGCCAGATTCTTGAGCTCTTCATTCGACAAAACCCTAAACCATAAACCCTAAACCGTCAGTCTCACGCTCTTTGCTGGGGACGGCGCTTTCGACCCGACGCGATTTAAGCCAGTTCCCTTTTAAAGCGGGTTTAGGCTTTAGGGTTAGGGTTTAGGTGTCGGGGTTTTGGGGTAGGGTTCGGGGTTTAAGATTAGAGTTTGAGGTTCGGTGTCATTGAAATCAGCAGATAAGAGTCTGAGCAAGCGGAACAGGCAGGCAGACAGGCAGACAGATGAATAGATCGAGAGATATATGGTTTGACAGATAGATGGATGGATAGAGATAGATAGCTAGATGGATGGATGGACAGATCGATGGACTTTAGATTCAGATTTTTCTCTCGCACTGTAGCGACACTGGTAATGGAAGGGCAGCATGACTGGATTGCTCATCGACACCATTGCGTAGTTCCAATGATTGGACGGAATATATGGTCCGTGATTGATGGCACGAATTACATATGGCCATTCAGATTGCTGTATCGTAGCAAGCCAGAATGCATTGCTCGCGTCCACCCATCAAGCTGCTCAAAATCAAACGGGGAAAAGAACTGGGTTTTGGAAAGCACATGTATCACCACGAGCATTCAGAGAGCCCACATGAAGGTACATAGCTATTGTCGTAAAACCTGTACCAAAGAACCAAGATGTTGAGTTTAACCCGTAAGCCCTCTCTCCAGAAGCCCTTCTAAAAATCCTCACAACCACCCTTGTAGAATCCTTAAAAGTGGCGTGGAAGAAGGCCGTTAGAGCCCCTATAGAAGCCTCGTAAAGCTCTCAGCCCAAAAGCACAAAGCCCAAAAAAGCCTAAACCCTAAACCCAAAAAAAAGCTTAAACCCCAGACACTCTAGCCTCGACGTGTGGTCGCCATGGGCTGCGGCGCTTCCGCGGACAAGGCTTTCTGGGGTGTTATAGTTGTCGGTTCAGGGTTTAGGGTTTAGGGTTCAGAGCCTTTTTGCCCGAAGGCCGCTCTTTAGGGTTTAGCGGTTTAGGGTCCAGAGTTTCAGGCATAAGGGTCGCAAGGGTTTTTGGGGGGTAAGGTCTTTTTTGTGGGGTTTGGATTGGTATGTTGGGCTTTGGTGTTTACGGCCAGCTTGGGCTTCGTATGCTCTTCGGAGGGAATGAATCCTGTAGCTTCTCGAAGAGATTCAAAGAAAACAGCACAGTGTCGAGAGAAACCCTGAACCCTAAACGTCCACTTTAAAAACAACCGATAAACCCTGAACCCTAAAGGTTACGGTAGGAACAGGAGGTTTGGGGATCCTTGGTCGTTAGTGTTGAGGGTTTTTGGGTTTAGTGGTTCAGGGTTTCGAAATTTAGGGGTTTAGGGTTCAGGGTTGAGGGGGAGTGGGGGGTTTCGGGCTTCGGGGCCTTAGGGCTTAAAACGTCAAAGGGGTCTAAGGGTCAAAGCTGTGGGGTCGAGTGTTCAGGTCCACTGGGGTTTTTATGGTTTGGTTGGTTAGCGTCACAGGGTTGAGGGCGTCGGGCTTGAGGCTGTGGTTTTGGGTTTTGGGTTTTGGGTTTAGGGTTTTGGATTTAGGGTATAGGCATTGTGCTCTGAACGGTCGTACTTGCACGCAGCACCCACAGCGACAAAGTAAGCATAGGAGTGGGGACTTGGGGGGTGTCCCATAGAAGAGAACAAACTTCTGATCAAAAGGTCTGTGGTGTCCGGAGACGCCTTAAAGGGGACCCTTCTGAACCCCACTTGTAGCTTTCTTAAAGGGAACCTTATTGAGAGGCTCTATATCCCCCAGGGTCCCCCTAATCCTAACTCTCATGGTGATGGTTCAAGCCTTAAAGTAGCCATGGAGTAGGTTCCGTTTTTCTACACGACTCCCGCTTTCCTACAACAGCGACGTGCATGCCCAGAAGTCCCTCGAAGGGAACCTGTGGAGCAACCCCGATTGCCGTTGATGATATACATCCTGCATTACCCATAATAAGGAATATACCATAGTTCCCATAGTTTATTGGGGTCCTTAAGTTAATGCAGGATATATACCGTGTCATCAACCGTACGTCCCCGATCATCTCTTGTGAGTCTTCTTCCAGCCCGTTTCTGACAGCCATTAGCAGCTGCTTCAGGCCTTCGTAACATACATACATATAACG